GGTATTTTCCCCACTAACCGAAACAAGCACCTACCTATGTTGCAAGAAGCTAATAAAGGGCGCAACACCAGTGCCTGGACCCACCATGATGACGGGGACCGACGGGTCATCTGGTAGGTGGAAGGAATTGGTTGCTCGAGGAGAGATGGATATCTGCAATATGAAGCCATTTGTGGTAAGTCTACACGAAATCTACACAGGAGCACAGAACCAAGCTGAGACCTGCTAAGAACAGAAAAACACAAACGCTGGTCAGAAAACAGCATTAACTGCAACAAAAGCATCAGATCTTACAGAAACTCTGAACACATTTGTCACTGCAGAGAAAGATGTTGGCCTTGGAAAGTTCTTTTTCTGCACTTACTGAAAAGTTTGTTGAACAAAAGCCATGGTGGAATTATTGGGAACGATGAATAGATCATAAATTATTTTTCTAGGTTCAAGGACTATTTGCTTTCTAGTAGGCAATGAGTCATATATACTATGAAGAAATGAGCAAAAGAAAAGACACAGTTCTTCCTGTCTGTATACAAGAACCAATGGAGATGAACGCCAAGGTGGGGCTCAAAGTTTTAAATGAAAATAATGTACGTAACAGTATGCAGAATTATTTGTACAAAGCTAGGTGTGTGGTACAGTTAAGATCTTTTTGTTAGAATTTCAAGTATTTCTTCATGTGCCACGGATTCTCACCGAAGAATGACGGCATGTGGCACTTCCAGTCACTCCGCCCTATGCCTACGCCCCACTGTGGCTCGCTAAGGGCCAGCAGGACTAACAGGGTCCATCCACCTTCATGGTGGCAGAGCTGTGTATGTGTTCAGTACACACGTTTAATTCAAGGAAAATTCAAGATGTTCATGAAGAGCTTGACCGTTAAACCTTCTCCATGAAAGGTTAGCAGAGCTGGGTCTAACTACTGCTCCTACTTGGATGACATGGCGATTACTATGACATTAGGCTGACTCACTGGAGCCACTCGTTAACAGAAATGAACAAATCAGAGTCCCCATCCTCAGGAAGCTGACCTGCTAGTGGGGGAAACATGAAAGACAACAGATGCCCCCAGAGTGATGAGTGACCGTGAGTCCTGTGGGGCAAAATTCAGCAGGCAAAGAAATGACGGGTAAGCAGAGAGCAGCGCTCCTCCACACATAGTGTCGGCACAGGACCAGACCTGGACGCGAGCTCTGAGACCGCCCGCCCGCTAGCCCCATGTGCCAAGGGTATGCTCAGCAAAGGCTTCTTTCCTAGGAATGGGGCAGGCAAGGCAAGAGTGACTACAAAGAGGTAATGCTCCCCACACTCAGGGAATCCGAGCTAATTCCCAGTGAGTGACAGGCGCCAAGGCTTCTCTGCCTCCCACAGAGTTCAGAAATCCACGTACAAGGTACACCTCCTCTGGAGGAGTGTAACTGTCGCCGCACTGCACAGTGCAGGAGACCACACTGCCTTTCCTCATCAAGCAGACAGAGCAGCGCTGACGAAGCTGGGCGGCCCACTCCCTTCGTACCTCAGGAGCCAGGGCTGTTCCACTGTGTGCGTGCGGTGCCAGGGAGTCTGGCTGAAGAACTGAGGCGACCACGCCGGCCAGCCAGCCCGTGCACACGCCCTTCCGCAGCGTCACTGCTGCTGGGGTGTGAGACAGGAACTCCACGACACTGAAGATAAAGTGAAGCTTGTCTGGGTGGGACAAACTCGAGCTGCAGAGACACATTGTGAGTTCTATGTCAGCTCCAGCACACACGGTACAGAACCCTTTCTTTACTGCAGTGAGAAAAGAGCTCCGAATGGGCTCTAATCTACCTTCCAACTCCTCAGAGAAAAGCAATCTCCCTTACTTTACCCCTTCTTCCTCTGCCCATCTTGTGATACCATTCAGAAAAATGTCCTGTTTTATTTGCTTTAATAGTAGATAAGATTTATAAAACAGAGGTGCCCTAAGGGTCTCCAAGTAAGACTCAAAATTTATAAAGACCTCTCATCCTGTGAAGCAACAGAAACAAATCCTGCGAAATATCTCATATAGTACTTATTAAGTTAAAATTAGCAAGTAACTGAAGTGCATATATATATATGATATATATATATATCATATAAATATATACATTATATATTACATGTACACTCAGAAAACTAAAATTTCTCCAAGACACGGTTAGAAAACGTTTCTACCTGATTCTTTTTATACACCACAAGGGCAGAGAGCTCCGTTAGGCTCGCTCAGTGCCCCTACATGCCTTCTGGCCCGGTGGCTGAGGAAGGCAAGAGAGAGCTGACGGGCAAGGGTAGTCACTGCACAGGGTAGGAAGGCCCGAGGTGGGGCAGGCCTGGTCCTCCCAGTGGAGCGCCCTGTCCTCGGTCATGGAGCTTCTCTCTGTTCCTACCCAGCTCCAACACCTGGGTGGTGGGCGAACTCAAGGCCAGCTTCCCTGAGTGGGGAACCAGGTCTGGAAGAGGGGAGCCGCCCAGGACCCCAGCTCCAGCATGTGCTGGACGATGGGTCCTCCCAGCTGCTCGTCACAGCTGGTCACGCCTAGCCGCTCCCACACATCGCAGACATTTCCCCTGATGAACTGGTGCTATAAAGGACCTGAAGTCAGACCTCCTTAAGATCTGGGGGGAAAAGATGCTTTATGTTCAGTTACCTTGCACAAGAGTATGGCCTGGGTTGGAGTTTAGGAAGATGTTCTAGGAAAAAAAAAAAACAAGTGTTAATTTACTACTGATATATAACAAACTTCAAGGCCTAAATGTGACCCTGTCGTGTCTTATTTAGAATATCTAAATTAACTTATCTTGTAGTTTTTAATCCTAGTTTTCAGTTAGGGCACACTCACCCTTCCTGTGGGGGTATAGCTTTCCACAAAATGCCCAGAGTTTTGAAAATAAAATCACAACCCTAAAAAGATGAAAGACCACTCATTATGTTAAGGATTATTGCAAATACACAGAGGCATACGATATTTTTCTTTCTTATATTTACGTAATATGTTATAAAAAAAAACAAACAAAAAACATGTGCCCGGTGGTGGTGATTTCTACATCAAATTATCCTGAAACCTAGTGGCTTCCAAACTGCATAGGTGCTCTCGGAGAAAGAGTTAAGTGATCAATACTTGAATCACCCATTGACAAACTTTGAAATGATCCTCCTGTCTCAGCCTCCCCAGTACTGGGATTACGAGTGTGAACCCTCAGGCCCAGTTTTTGTGGCAAGCACAGTGTGCCTCTGGTAGTTATTTAAGCAAAATTTAAAAACTATTTAAAATAGAGGAGGGCCAGCCAAATAGCCCACAGGATTAAAGTGCCTGCAAGCAAGAGCAGGGGACAGGGGTTTCATTCCCAGGCCTGCCGTGCCAGCCCTGCCCCTAGTGGTGCGCTGAGATGGCAATTGAGACTGGGTGTGGGGTACACGCCTGTAATCCCAGCTCGTGCGAGGCTGTAAACAGGTGGATCACTACAAGTCTCATTCAGCAGTGAGACCCTGAACACCCTGTAGACCCTTCCCTAAAATACAAAAAATAAAACAGAGGGCCAGGGAGATAGCTCAGCATCTTAAAGCATCTGTCTGGCAAGTGCAAGGTCCTGAGTTTGATCCCCAGTATCAAAAATAATACATAAATAAATAAATAGCTTAGTGTTTTAAGATGTATTTGAATAAGGTTTAGCAAAAGGTTCACCTTAGTAATTTAAATTTTTGTATGTCCCAATATCTGTATATAGCCATATAACACTATTTTTATAAATGCATGAAAAGGTAAAAGGAATCTATAAAAAAAACCCCAAACCCTAAAACCTTGAAACACTCAGGTACGTTTAAGAACTTTCCAAGACTTGCTTTAGCTCCCTGAACGGTGTTCTGATTGTTACCTGAGCCCCACCACCTGACTGACGGACGGAGAAGCCTAGGACACTGGCCCATGGGCAGGACCAAAGGGGTCGGGGAGGCTCACCCGGCAATGCTTTGTTTTGGCCACTTGGGGAAGGAGAAAAGAGAAAACACATTAAGAAATAATAAGGAGAAACAAAAACCTGACTCGCAAAGGGGCATGCCCTTTACTGGATGGTCATCCAGTTCTACTGATCTAAAAAGAAAAACTTCAGTGTCACCAAAGACAAACGTGAACGTCAAAGCCTGGACTCCTTACACTGCAGGAAAACAGGATCTGAGGAAGCCACACACCCTGATGGTCATCAAAGACGCTGACGTCTCTTCTGTCGGAGGTGAGGATCCCCAGTGTTAGTTGACACATTGTGTCAACTTGGCTGAATCAGCTCCCGCAGTTTTCAGCATGAGGGCCTAGCCCTGCCGGTGGGCAGGGCCCAGGAATTGAGAAAGGCTTCCTGCAGCCCTGCCCACCTTCCTGCCTCCCCGCCCTGCTTCCTGGAGAAGTCCCAGTCTTCAGAGGAGCTTGACCTTCACAGCTGCGCCACTTTGGAGGAGCTCTGATCTTCACTGGGGAGCGCTGGTCTTCCCAGTCACCGTAGAAGGAAGATAGAGGCTTGATGGACGCCGCTGCAGCTGCTGCTCCTCCTCTGCTCTTCATTGTTTTCTGCCGCATGAACTGCTGTTGTTTGCCTTGGAGCCAGCGGAATATGGACTGAACCCTCCAGTAACTGTGAGCTAAATAAACCTTTCCTTCCTTCATTTTGAGTGTCGGGTATTCGCCCCACCAAGGAGTAAAAAGTAACGAAGACACCGAGCATCGCTGTGGTCACTGCGCTGGATTTCCGTCCACTTGCAGTACTTCAGGGAGGGGTCTGCCTCCAAGTACCTGCACTCGTCAGTCTGTACCATGCGGCACAGAGACGCCCTGCTTGCTCCTGGAGGGTCCTCAATACGGACTTGCCTTGCTGGAGACATTTCTGCACCCTCTGGTCACCACTGTCAGCTGGATTTGATACTCTTTCAGGAAGATTATTCTTAGAAAGCTCACATATTTACAGACAAAATTTGGCGGAATGACTGAAGCAACATCTAAAGGCCTTTCAGGGGTTCTCTGGCGTCTAGAGCACAGCCGGCTGTCCGCGCTCCGGGAGTGCGGGATGCCAGATGCTACCCAAGCAGTCACCATCCTACGCACCTGTGCCCACGACACCTGCGCAGGCCACACAGCGGAGCGAGCTGTCCTGGCTTGGCTGTTCACCTATCAGTGGGTGAAGAACGGAGGTGACGATGCAAGTGACGACTCACCAAGCAGGATGCCCAGTGGTGGCTGACAGGACGGGAAGGACTGGAGCAGGTCCAACAGGCAGACACAGGCATCCCGGATGAACCGATTGTAATCTGCAGCTCCTTGTTTACTGCAAAGCTCCTGCAGCCGCCGCTTTTCGGGACCATCGCTGGTGTAGTCCACCAGGGCGCGCACAAATGCCTGGAAAGGAAGCTGACTTCAGTGACAGCCCTGCCTTGTGGTAAGCACTACTGAGTTAGGGGCTGGGGTGTAGCTCAGGGGTAGAGCACTAGCCTAGCATGCACAAGGCCTTGATTCCAGCCCCACCACAGAGAACAAAGAAAACAGGGAGAGTGTTAGATTGGAATCCGCCTGGGGACAGTGCTCAGTTACCAAAGAAGCAGAGGGGCCATTGTGAGTGCTGTCGGAAAAACAAAAGCGATTTCTGTCTGCACTAGTGTTGGCCTGTTAGGACAATTCTACTTTTATGTTCTACCTTCAGTCCCTTTTCCCCTCAGCTAAGCAACCTCAGCAGTCACAAGTACGGTCTCCAATGACACAGACAAGAGTGCGATCACAAAGTCTCACAACTCAACTCTGAACACACATTTTTTGCCCCACCAGGTGACTACAAACTACCCTCTCAGCGTTAACTTGGAGAAAGTGAGGTGCTTTTTATGAATAAGCCAGACACTGGGCAAATGAGGGGCTAGGGACCAGATGGCCCTATATTTGTCTATCAAGGTTCATAGGCTGGCAGCAACAACAGAGGCAAATGAATAATGGTAACCAGTGGGCCCCAGGGCCCAGGAAGACAAAGCATGCCCTGGGCTTCCCAGCATGCCCTGGGCTTTCCAGCATGCTCTGGGCTTCCCAGCATGCCCTAGGCTTCCCAGGAAGCAAGCTGAGTCAGAGGTTAGCTACCTGAAGCAGGAAGTAGGGGTCCTCACAGAAGGTGCAGCAGGGGTGTGAAGGCAGGGGAGCAGGCAAAGCACAGTGCTCCTGGCTGCATGCAGCTGCACACAGAGACAGGGAATGAGGGACAGAGGCTGAAGGGACAGCAGGGCCAGGACCCAAAGATCCACCTATACGTGGATTCTCAGTCATCTCGGACTCAGTATGGAAACAGAGTGTTAGAAACAAAGAAAGAAAACCAACGAAGTCCCAAGTTCCAAGTCTCAAAAACTGAACCAAGTCCAAATTCTTGGATAAAACAGACTTGCTAATCATTCTGCCTGCAATGCAACTACAAGTCTAAGAACCTTTCTCTAAAATAAGTGATAACCAACAAATTATATGCTTTTCTCCAACGCCCAACCTCAGTGCTGAACATAAATGTGCACTACAGAAATGAATTAATCAATCAGTGCCCAAATCACAGCATGGATCTAGGCAAGGTAACAAAGAGTTTACCAATAACAGTTTGTAAATGCGAAAGTCAATGTTTCTCCAATTACAGGTTAAAACAATGGCAGTTATAAATACTTTAACATAATTTTTACTTGAGAACTACAGAAACTTTATGGTCCTAAAATAGAAAACATTTATTTATAGAGAACAACCTGACAGAGAACACAAACATTAGTATACTTAAAACTGTAAGTATCTTTTTTTTTCTTTTTTTGTGGAACCGAGGATTGAACTCAGGACTTGCGCTTGCCAGAGAAGCACTTATTCCACTGAGCCATCTCCCCAGCCCCTGTAAATATCTTTTAAGTAGCAATTCTGGTCCAAGGAATTTACTAAAATACTTTAAATGACTTCAAACTCATGCAAAGATTAATACAAAAAGTTCATCTAAGGTCTGTAAGATAGCTCTGCAGACTAAGTGCCTGCTTAGGCAAACGCAGGGACCAGAGTTCGATTCCTGGCACCACATGCCACACTGGCCCAACCCAGGCACGCTGAGTTGGCCACCACGTCCAGGTATGGTGGCACTTGCCTATAATCCCAGTGCTGGAGAGGCTGAAAACAGCAGGACCACTATGAGTCTAAGCGATGTAGTAAGACCATGTTCCAAATACATTGAAAAAACAAAAAAAAAAGAATGTTCATCTAGAGTTTTTTTCCATGATTAAATCAGTTAACCATGGTACATCCATTAAAATATCTTAAATCATCCCATACTGATGTACACAGATTTGACTTTAAGAGGACAAACTATAGAGTAGAACATACACTATAGGATTCATAATATAAACTCAAAGGCTTTTTTTTCATTTTTTAAAAATTTTTATTTTTTTTGGCGGAACTAGGGATTGAACTCAGGCCCTGGCGCTTGCCAGTGAAGCGTTTATTCCACTGAGCCATCACCCAACCCTCTTTATTTTTTTTTATGTATTTAATACAGGGCCTACAGGGTCTCACAGCACAGATCAGATTTGTAGTGATCCTCCTGTCTTCAGCCTCCCAAGCACTGGGATTACAAGCATGTGCCACCACGTCCAGTCTCAGGTGCTGTCTAAGCGGGCCCCAGGGCCAGGGCCAGCACAGCAAGGGGAGCGAATCCCGGTCCCCTAGTGCTAAACTCAAGGTTTAGGCATCAAAAACTTTTACTTCTTGGGTGACTTGTTCATTTATATCTATAATTTCTTTCTTTCTTTTCTTTTCTTTCTTTTTTTTTTTTTTGGGGGAACCGGGGATTAAACTCAGATCCCTGCATTTGCCGGTCAAGCGCTTATCCTACTGAGCCATCTCCCTGGCCCCTATAATGAGGACATTATTTTTGTAGTAGAAACAGAAACATACATAATATATATATATGTTTTTAAAAGAGTTAAACCAAAACTGTAAATTTACTACATTTCGTCAAAACATCTCATCACAGTGGATTAGTTCTATATTTACTTAAATTATATCTAGGATTTTGTTTTCCCAGAACAGGAAAAAACAATTACAAAAAAAAAAAAACAAAAAAAAAACAACTGCAAGAGGCAGCCTCCTTCCAGCACTGCTCGTGCTGACAGGGCAGCCCAAGCTCGGCAAGGCAAGCTCGGAAAAGGGTGCGCAGCTGTCCACTTGAGGGAGACTGTTAAAAGAAATCAGGTTCCAGAGAATACTTTTCCTGGGATAATACTGACCTCTAGTGGACTGCTGATCTCTGACTGCACCTAAATACCAATATAATCCACCAAAACCTTCAAGCCTTCCTAAAGAATTCTGATTCATCATCAGTAAGGAATTATACAGTAATACACAAAGGGACCTAAATAGCTTTGGAAGTGCCGAGCCTGTGTGTGCCCAGGGGACCCTAAGTCTCATAATCTTCCTGTCATCAGTGACATACAAACTGGCAACGTGTCCTCAGACAGCACAGGATTTCATCACCGTTTAAATGTGCTATGTAAAGTCAAGGTCTGGATAAAAAAGACTTGAGGATCAATTTTTTAAATTTCATTTTAATGGGAAAAAAGTTCAATGTAAACACAACATAAAAATGTCTTATTACAACTACAACTGACAGAGAACAGAAAAACTAGTACACCTAAAGCTGTAAATACCTTTTAAGTAGCAATTCAGGTCCAAGGAATTTACTAAAATACTTTAAATAAAAATATGGAGGGAAAAAAAAAAAAAACCATTTTGGTCATACAAGGACCAAATTGTGGCCTATTACTATTGCAAAATTGCTAACTTTGCCTTCATCTTTTCTTTGAATTTAAAATTATATATGTGTTTATGTGTGTGTAGTGTAGTGGTAGATAATGAACGCAGCTTGTCACAAGTGGGCCATTTATAAGTGTGAAGTTGCTTGAGGCTCTCTTTTACTGCCATGTTGTATTTCACTTTTGACTGGGCAGATTTGAGCTATCCTGGTAAGCTACTTGCCACAAACATCTCATTTCATAGAAAATGGCTGATTTGAGAACGGGTTGCTTTGGGAAATAGCTCTGTGTGATTAAAAAGGTACTTGTTCACACTGCAAAAAGATAAAATAAAATAAAATACTTTAAACAACTTCAAACTAGGTGCAAAGTTTACTATAAAAATGTTCATCTAGGGGCCGGGGAGAGGGCTCAGGAGCCTCAGCTCAATCCCTGCTTCTGCCAAAAAAAAAAAAAAAAAAAAAGTTGATGTAGGCCGGTGAGACAGCTCTGCAGACTAAGTGCCTGCCTGGGCAAGTGCCGGGCCGGAGCTTGATTCCCAGCACCACAGGCCGCACTGGCCCCACGCGGGCTCACGGAGCTGGCCGCGGAGTCTGGTGACAAACAACACCAAAATGCAACACCTCCCTGGGAACTAAGTTTTACGTGTGCCATACAGATATGCTAAGGGTTCAAAAGGCAGAGCCTAATTGCATTTAAAGAGAACCTACACAGAGACAAGCGTACTGTAACGCAGCTACGCACAGAACAAGGAAAATACCTTTTTCGGAGCTGCCCGTATGTCCAGACACCACGTAAAAATGAACTTGAGGGACGTCCTCTCAGGTATGTGCTTGGGGAGGGCGGCGCCTTTCCAAGAGAACACAGGAAGATGCTCAGGACAGAGACAATGAAGACAGTGCAAAACACATGTAGGGAATGCAACCCAGCGAGCGCTTCCGGGCACAACGCTTAGCACAGTACGATGGCTGGTGGCCATATTTATCAGCCAAAAACATTCCAGAATGACTACAGCAGAAAGGCCCATGTCACATAAAGAAATTATAAATTCGAGCTATACCAAATAAAAGAATGGAAAAGAATCTTTAAAAAAAACTAGCGTTCCATTAAAACACACACTATTCTCAAAAAGTATTTCAGGACAAATCTCAAGTTCAAAATGGCAAGACAAAGAAAAAAACAAAAAATTGTAAGAAAAATAACCAATGTGCTTCAGTATTTTAAAAATAAATAATTGACTTTAATTATGGGGAAAGCAATTACTTTGTAGAATAGAAGCAGCCGCAGATGGTAAGCAGCAAGCACACCGGCCAAGGCCCTTTCCGAAGCAGCTGTGCTCACGCTGCTCCACGGCGGCGGCTTCTACTCTCCGCACGCCCCCAAGTGCCGATCTTGCACCAAGTCTGCAGTCACCCTGCTCAGCGCCATCACCCGGCAACACTAGCGGGCGCTTCCAACCCCCACGAGCGGCCGAGCCCCACACCAGCGTGGCCACTCGCCTGGGCGCACACCCTAGCAGGCTGCGGGCCCTGGACCTGCACCCCGCCGCGCCCCGCACCTGCGCACCTTTCTTCTTCGTGTCGGCCTTGATCTGCAGGACGACGTGGTGGTCACGCAGGTCCGCGAGCTGCAGTCTTTGGAGCAGGGCCTGCACCTCGGAGTCACTGTTGGGGCAGATCACGTGGAAGGCATCGCCAGGCTGATAGGAGAAATCTGTTTGCTAGAGAGGAGCCACAACGAAGAATGCTGCGTGTTCACGTCGCAAATAATAAGGAGACAGTTTTCACAGTGACCATTTTAATACAAGAACTGAACAAAGAATTCTACGAAAAGAATTAAAGTTGTACGTATGTGTACCAGCTCGCCACAATGATGCACCCAATATACACCATAGCCAAGTACTAATAAAGCCAACAGCAACAAAATACATAAGCAAAGAATCCTAACTGCAAAAATAAAATAAAATAGCCCAGTTAATAAAACACAAAGCTGATCAGGGCTACTTTAGAACAGAAACCTGGCAATTACACGGAGCACCGTAGGGCGTTCTGTCACAGCCCATTTACAGAATGCAAATCGGACCCTCCGCACTTTGCACAGCATCCAGTCACACCAGCACATATACGCTGCAGCCTAAAGAAGCCATCACGGCCACCGGCCCTGGTCTTGGTTTTCTTCTCCTTGCTGGGCTCCTCTCTTGTAGGGAGGAGGCGTGGTCGGAAAGGGCACTCGCTCGCCCGCCTCTCCTAGGACGGAATCACATTCGACTCCTGGACTGCCAGCGGGGTGAGGAGGACAATGGGGCACATCCAGCCACGTGTCACCTCCACGACTTCTCATTCTCCCAGGATGAGAAACCAAGCACCGCCAGGCTCCATGGGCATCCTACAAAGCTGTGCTGAGAAATAAATCTGGCCACTTACGGAAATGTCCAATTCCAGAAGCAGAGTGGTTTTTACGGCATCGCTCGTAGTAAGCCGAACTGCCTTTGAAATTGGAACTCGAAAGACTGGCTCAGCTGAAGTCACAGACGCTTGATTTTCCTCCTTGAGAAACAAATGGGGGAAATGCGATGCAGAAGCAATTTGCAGTCATGTCATTCCCTCGCTTAGTGACCATTCAGGATCTGTAAAATCTGATCAAACCTCCTGGATGCTTAGAGCTCATTTCCAAGGTAAAAATCGAGACACACAGATTTCATGCTTCAGAAGAGCAGTTCACATATATTTATACTTTTTTGTCTATCTCACACCTCCACTTCCTGCTTTCAGAGCACCTGCCCACGTCAGCCGGCACTGCTGCACTGTGGGTCCTAGAACACTGTCCAAAAGTTCGCGTCCAGCGTGAAGCACTAGACAGAGAGAAGGCCTTCAGGAGAGGCCTGGACACCAAGGGCTCTGGCCTCAGGAACCGCTCACCCACTACGCACAGCCTCAGGTGCAGCTGGCAGGGTGGGGCTGAGTTGCAGAAGGTCATTGGATGGGCTCTGAAGGGTATATCATGTCCCTGGCCCAGTCCTCACTCTCTCTGCTTCCTGGGTGCTGTGATTGGGGCCACTCTGCCCAAAGACCGGCACCTTGCCATGCTGTGCCATCTCTCCACACCCCCCCACCCCAAGAAGCCACAAAGCCAAGTGACCAAGGCCTGAGGTCCCCAAGACTTTGAACCAATGTCAATCACTCTGCCTATAAGCTGATTTTCTCAGGCATTTTCCCATGGTGACAGAATGCAGACTGACACTGGTATGTAATTTTTTCAAGGAATCATACCAGCACTCAAAACTCCAATTTCAAGCATTTCTGATTTTCACGTTAGGGATGCCCCACCAGTAACACAAGCCACTCTGTAACCCAAAGATGGGCAGCTACTTCTTCGGAAAGAACTAGACAGGAAGTGTAATTGGCTTCCCAGGCCCCTGGGGTGGTCACATGACTCTGAAACTGGAGCTTAAAAGTACTCACTGATACTGTGCAGAGAAAAAGGCTGGCTGTGTGCTAATCCCATTTATCTACAGTCGGAGGACAACAGATCCCATTTGGCCAGGGTCTCACCATTTACCTACCTTTGTCCAAATATAATAAAAGCAAAAAATACCAAAGCCAACAGCCATGGTTAAATGACCTCACAGAGCATACAGTGCAATGGCTCACCTGGCCCCGGGGCTCCTGCAGGTGCACCTGTAAATATGCTGCAGGTAAAGCAGGAATACTGAGAGAGGCTTGTGAGAGTGGGGGTACTGAGCAGATCAGCGAGGACTCAGGGTCTTCAATCACAGCGCCCGATCGACCTCTATTCATCTCATTTTGTCCTAAAACCTCAGAATCGTTTCTTCTTGAATCATTCAGCCTCAGAAGGCCCATCTGAGACTGCATATGCAAGGACTCTGGCTGCATAGCTTCTGTACTTGAGGAGTCACCAGGGGCCCAGGTCAGCGCTCCTTGCCCTTCCCTTGTCCTAAAGTGCTTTGCGAGAGCGGTCCAGAGTCCAGCAATCCATGGCTCAACCACAAGCTCCAAACTGGGATGTGATAAAAAGAGAAAGACAAAGAAATGCCTGAGTCATCCTCCCAAACACACGAAGGGAACATCAGAGAACACCCATTTGGCAGAGGCTACTCGCAACTTGAGCACCACCACAAACTTAAAAGGATTAACAAAGACTGCACATTGGCTCCATAGAGGCTGCGTCAGTTTACAGCCCACCAACAAGGTGGACAGGTTCCTTTCCCCACCGTCTCGCCAGCCTTTGTTGTCATTTCATTTTTTGATGAGGGCCATTTTAGGAGATGGAATCTCAGTGTTTTAATTCGTGTTTCTCTAGTGGCCAGTGATGTAGAACATTTTTTCATGTATTTATTGACCTTTGTACTGCTTCTTCTTAGAAATGTCTATTCATTTCAGTTGGCCACTTTTTGATCGGATCTTTTATTTTGGGGCCCTAATGTCTTTTCAGTTCTTTAAGAAAGGGAAAAAGAAAGAAAGAAAAAGAACTGAGATGTATACTCCCGACAAGGAATGTAATCATGATGTACTGCAAACATGAACTAATAAGAAGGCTGGGGATATAGCTCAGTGGCATAAGTGCCTGCCTGGGAAGTGCAAGGTCCTGAGTTCAATCCCTGGTACTGCAAAAAAGAAGAAGGAACGTTACGATGAACTATAAATAAAAACTGAGCTCAACAGACTAGGCAAGCTTAGGCAAGTGCAGGGACTGCAGTTCAGTCACTGGTACCACATGCCACACCAGCCCCGCTCCCAGGGCAGGCTGAGCCAGCCAGAGTCTGGTCGTAGTGACACATGCCTGTAATCCTAGTGCTAGGGAGGCTGAAAACAGGAGGATCACCACGGGACTGAGCTGCGTAGTGAGACCCTGTAACAACTAAATACATTAAGAAAGAAAGAAAGACAGACAGAAAGACAAACTGAAAAACAAGGATAAATAATGAAGTTCCAAAGAGCAGGACATTATCATGTATTCACTAACACTCTATCTCTAAATAATGAGCTTGTTCTAAGGCAAAAAGGAACTAGGACAGGGGAAAGGGGAAGGAAGGGAGGAAGGAAGGAAAGAAAGAAGGAAGGAAGAAATCAAAATACAAGATAGCTATACTACTAGTTTCTCCGTACTGTGATTAACTATTTCAAAGATAAAAATACTCAATGTATTAACTATTGATATTCTCTTATTATCTTACTATAAAATTTTATTTTTTCCATAAAATAAAAAAGTAAATAAGTATGCATACAAGTTAAAGAAATGAAGTGATATATAAGGCACTTTAGTAATAAGATAATAATTACAAATTCTTCTACATTCCCAGAAGAGTTGATAATCTTCAATTTAAGAGGCTATAATCTTAAAGAGCCACGCTAAATCCTAATGAAACCAGCTCAACTTTGCAAAATCCGCGGCTGCTCTGATGTGGCAAATAATCACTACGCCAGTCAGATTCACCATCTCTTTTGCTTCATTTACTGATCTTTCTCCTCCAGCTGAAAATATCAGCATGAAATTATTCTGGATTAATATGACATGTTTTCATTAAATTAAAAAACACAAGTCTTTTTATCAGTTCTGAATAATTTTTTGGGTAAGAACTTTAGGAAAAATGACTCTGACCTCAGAAAAAGAAAGCAATCACTTTCTGTGAACTGAACTAGTCATGAACTCTTTCTTTCATGAGTTCAAGGTCAGCCTGAACAACATAGTGAGCTTTTGTTTAAAAAAAACAGAAAACATAATAAAATGTATATTCAAAATTTTAATACTTGATCCAATAAATGGCAAGCAAAAGCTTTAGAAGAGACATGAAATATGGATAATTGACGAACCTAGATTAATATCAGTATTACTAGGATTAATCATAATTTAGTAATAATAACGAGGTTCTGGCAAAAAAAAAAGTCAAAGTAAGAGATAAAACTAAAGAAATGGGAGGAACAGTCATGGAGCTTTGTTGTGGGGAGTTAGAACATGTGCTTTAGCGATAAGGCAAAAAATCAGAGCTTCACAGCACAGAGAAGGACAGAGAGGGGCCAGGGAGACAGCTTGGTGGTCTAAGCACCTGCCTCATAAACACAGGGACCTGGCTGCAAGCTTTGGTACCATATTCCTTGCTGGCCCTGCGCCTGGGCGCACTGAGCTGGCCACTACAACTGGTACACGCCTGTAATCCCAGTGCTGAGGAGGCTCAGACAGGAGGATCGATACAAGTCCAAGCAGTGTGGGTAGACCCTGTACCAAATAAATAAATAAATTAAAAAAGGACACAGAGAACCCGCACAGGGGTGAGGTGGGTGGAAATGTGGGTAGAGTCCACCATGCTCCCCGAAGTCTAGTAGTGAGGTATCTGCTGAGCTTGCTGCTAGCATAGAGACTAGTCATTAACACAGTGAGTGAAAATTCACTTACGCGTGCACTTAGCAGGAAGAAAAATAAGTGTGCATGTTGTTTTCTGGCTAAAATAAAAATAAGAGCTAAGTGATAGGACTGTACTATGACAATACTAAAGACCTTTGATAAACCCAGTAGGATGATTTCAAAGGTGGCCACAGGGTGAAGCACTGATTTCTACAAAGCAAAGCAGAAGAATGAAAAGCATATTCCTGCTAGCCTGGCAGAAACGGCCACGAGGTGGTGCGAGGCGAGGGCCCAGTCGGGTCTTGTCCATCCACAGCCCTGGCGCTGCCGCCCCTCCACGGCAGAGCTGCGCTGACCGGGACACATTCGGATGCTGTAAGCAGATGCTGCGCTGTACAAAAGCTGCCACACTTGCAGGTAACCGCTCCTGGGACCTCTCCCAACTCTCCCTGCAGCACACTGAGAAGGGTGACACAGGCAGACGCCAGACCACGAGATCAGCAAAAGATCAGCAAAAGCGGCCGTCAAGCTCTGGCCCGTTTTCTTGGGCCCTAGAGCTCAGGGCTCTAAAGCTGTCCTCTGACTTTCAAGGTCGTTCCGGACACACTCCGCGCACTCCCCTGTGCTGGCGTAAACAGCGGCTCCCTGGACACACGGGTGCGCACTGCTCTTACCCTACACAGTCATCGGCGTGGCCAGTGTCGTAGAAATGCCGGGCACCAAGCTGCTGCAGTCGTTTATCAATCACTTTGCCCCCATTGCAGAAGTACGTGTACTCGGAATCACCCAAACCTAGAGTTCAAATACACAGTTGGTGCCTGCGAGGCTTTCCACGGACAAGATGGAAGGAACACAGAGAACGTGAAGCGACGCCACTCCACAGTCTACTAACAAAGGAGGGAACAACGTGCCGCTTCATGTTTTCTTATTTTCCTGGAGTACTACTAAGTATGCAAATAACTGCCTTCTGCTTTACAATCTTATAGTGCCAGATACACTGAAAGAAAACACAGAGTGCCGTTAAAAGAAATACATACATTCCACGTTTTTGTTTCCATGAGCCAGTGTAAAACTACAGAAATCTTAAAACAAGAATTAGAGACAGATCCAAGAACTAGAGCCTCAGCCAAGTGATGGCACATACCTACCTGTAAGCTCTGCCCTCTGGGAGACCAAGGCCAGAGGGTTTCTTTTTTTTTTTTTTTTT